TTAGTTATAAAAAATCAAAATTTTTGATTGGTCAGCTGGCACATAATCTGCAAAGTGACCAATCATGGCATGATATTCAATTTGTGTGATCGACTAATCACAAGAAAGTTATCCTATATGGAGCTGGTACAGTCAAAATTGTTCTCAGATGATGTGGGCAGAATTTCTTCTGTAGGAGGTATATCCTGTTTATTAGTAATAGTTTTGTTACAATTTTCTTCGGAGCGGGATATTTTGAGTCTGTTTTCCTCAATGATGTATTCTAATTTTGCTATCTTGGATCTAAACTCTGTAATTTCAGCATCTCGCTTAGCATTTTCTTTATTGAGTTCAGTGTTTCATAATTTTTTGTTCTCTGCACTCTCTTTTATGAATTGTTCCAATTCTATTATTCTAGCCATAGACCTCGCTTCCTTAGCTAAGAATTCGACCTTTTCTCTTTTTAATTCTGCAATCTCAGCTATAAGTTTGGAATTCTGATCTTCTAATAAATCGACTTTGAATTGTATATTTGCCATTTTTATATAAGATGTAGATATGTTCAAAAGCTAGGGTAAAAATCACATGACTCTGTGAAAAAAATTCACGCACTTCGGCAAGAAAAATTTTTGATCACATATAACATCATATCACGAAAAATATCACATGATACATCGTTCCTCTAACTAAAATTTTTATTAATAAAATATATGATGATAATACAGGATAGGGTGTAACCCATTGCTTTGCAATAAAATATATGATAAAATCTATCTAATTACTGGGAGGGTTGTTACTGTCGAACTATCTAAATTTCTATTTGACCTGTGATCATGTGCACTGCGTAATAGAGACATATTAACTATTAATGTATTGCGGAATAATAATAAAGTATATATAAAATCAGCTAAAATGGCAGGGTCATTAGAATATCAAATAGGGATCTCTGTTTCATGTAATTTATAATATCGATAGATTTCCAGCTCATCTCTAATAAGAACATTCAAAGTCAACTTACATCCAGAAACTTGTATTCCAATAATACCAAATTGTTCCTTTTCTAACCTACGACTTTTTTGAGCCTAGTATAATCCATCGTTGCACTTACGCTATAATTTTATATCATC